AAAAGTGAAATTTCTAAAAAGTGAAAAATAAAAAGTGAAATTTTTGAAAAGTGAAAAATAAAAAGTGAAAAATAAAAGTGAAATAATAAAAAGTGAAATAATGAAAAATAAAAAGTGAAATTCAAATTATTGGAAAATTGTCATAGAGTAAAAGACCAATCCCATGTCTCGGAAGGCACTTTGACAAAGTCAAGCTGGATTAACAATGATTATGTGTCAGTTCCTGGCCTGGTTTATGAGACATCTCAACATGCATCTGTTTCAGCTTTAGCTTTTTATTTTTATTATAACAGAGGCGTCATGACAGTTTCTTTTTTGCTTGCGACTCCTGCGACATGACGACTTCTTTCGCTTACCGCTAGACATGTTCATTGTGGGCTTGGCTTGCGACAAAGTAATGGTTCAAAATATAAGAGAAAAAAGTGTTGGAATAGTAATGGTAAATTCACTACACATAAAAGAAGCGAATTATTCTATAAATTTACTTACCATTTTAATTAATATTATCGTTATTGCCTGCTAAAAAGAATCGTCATCACAATTTATTGAAATAATAATGGTACTAATTTTCTCACTTTTAATTTCAACACTTAATATTCAAGCTAAGAATTTTATGTCCATCAAGATTTTTTTAATGTAAAAATAATGATAACGACAAATGAATAAGTTAGATTTCTCATTTTGCATTATAACTGATGTAGTTATTGTAGCATATGACTAGGAATTGTACTTGTTGACGTTTTTGTTTCCAAGTCAGTGCTTCGTAGTTGGAATTCATATATTTGCGTAGATCACCATCCTTTGCATAATCCATCAGTTTTTAGTTACTCTATGATATTTAATATGCTGAGTGCACGTTAGAGCAGTTTGAATCTAATTTTGAAAAAGTTAATTAGATTGAAAAACAAAAAAGTAATATGCTTACACGTAAAGATGTTCATTTTACCTCGTTTATAAACTCGGCTGTAATTTGCTTTGAATTTTGTAATGATTTCAATACAACTTCCCATTCTCCCATTCGTTTAAATTTATTTTCTCTATGATCCCATTTGTAAGGTTGTTTTAATGGTCCGTTCAACCAGGTTGCTTTATGAATGGATCCGAAACCTCCTTTTACAAGATATTCAACATTGGTAAATCTTTCGAAAGGGATCCATTCGAAAGAACTAAATATCCTAAATACACTATTTGACCAGCAATTCTGTCGCATTCATTTATTAAACTGTCGATATCTTTATTTCCGCATCCACGACAGTACCGATTGTTGTGACAATTGGTACATTTACTACAATCATCGCAGTCGTTATAATCCCATTGACAAAAAGAACATTTACTGCAATTATGAATAATAGATGCCATCTTTGAGTATGGCAGTATTTTATTAAAAAACGATGATTTATTCATGTGTGTTTACTTTGTGTTTGTGTTTGTATCGATTTATGCATAAAAAATGACACAAGAATACTGCGGTACGGCATTTACTAATTTTCCCCCACGTTTCTGATTGGTTGAGGATATTAAAGGTTAGTTAGCATTAGGATTAAGGGTTATGGTTAGGACTGGAGAAAAGGTTATACATAAAATTGTCTTCCCGACATTTATTTTTATTTTCTTGTGTCGGATTTTTTTTCCGGGTTGATCAAAAATTTATGCATCTTTATTGGTTGATTTAGAAGACCCGGCGTGCAATCAACCAATCAGTGATGGAAATTACTTGTATCCAATGGGAAAATTAGTAAATGCGCTACGAGACAGAACGCTTAAAAAAGAAGGCTCTTATAACTTCTATTGTTGTGTCACTTAGTGATTATATTATCGTTATTAATGATTATGGCAGTCTTTTATTTAAAAAACGATGATTTATAGGTGGTGTGGAAGTCGTCGTTCACTTGTGTTTGTAAAACGATTTATGAAAAATGATACTGGGAACACGACATACGCCCACAACATGCATGAAATGCATAAGAGTAAAAACGAGAATTACGCATACGAAATCATGGCTGATTTTGTGAACAGCAACTTTGCGAAGCAATATCTTCGCAACCACTGGACGAAATTTGATGAAAATATATCATTCAATCAGCCAAGACCAGACGAATCAGATGACATATCTTTTATGAGATTTTGGCCAGTAGTTGCGGCGATATTACTTGGCAAAGTTGCCATTCACAAAATCGGCTGTTTAAACTTTGGATCGACATTTGTACTACAAGTCAAACTATCTGATTTGGTCGTTATATCGAGAGAGTTGACCATAATACACCTTCAATATCACATCGATTCCTTACAGCAAAACTAACACATTAAATCTTGACTACGCTTCCTTCAGAGAGAGCAGTATTGAGCTTATTTACAGTTTTTGAAAAGCTTTTACACTTTAGAATAAATATTGTTCTATAATGGTTCCTAGATGTTTCTATGAGCGAATACGCTAATTGTTTCATAATCATTAATATCAATATTACCTATTTTGTGATCTTTTTAGAATTGGGGTTAAGCGGAAATGCCATGATTTTTCAAATTAATGAGCATAATGTATGTACTTTAACGATGACGACGACAATGTGTAACGATTCTGGAAGTAAAATTCGAACTATTAAAACAATGACCATTGAACTTATAAAAGTGATACATATCTTATCAAGACAGTGTTAAATGACCCAAATGAATGACCATTCATTTCGAAAGTAAAAGGCAAAATGACCAAATGACCTGGGGTCATTTCGATATCATTTGCAAAGTGAACAAATGACCTGGAGTCATTTCGATATCATTTGCAAAGTGAACAAATGACCTGGGGTCATTTCGATATCATTTGCAAAATGAACAAATGACCTAGCCATTTACCGTTACATGTAAATCAGGAAATTTATTGTTGAATACGTACATACTGTACATGTGCAACAATTTCTGGAAGTAAAAATCCGATTATTATAATTGGACCATTAAACGTATAAAAAGTGATATCGTGTTAAAACGCCAATTGAATACAAGAGATTTCATTTCTTATGTTTCCTGTAAAAATATAATTTGAAGGTGTATAAACTCATCTTTCTCTAACCTGATCGTAAAAAACGAAAAGATTCACTTGTTGAGGAAACATTTATCGTTATGTTTTTTGATAAAACAATCCATTCTTCGCAAGATTTAAATGAAACTGCAAATAAAATGGGAAAAAGTATTGAAAAATTAGTATTAGCGTTAGCAGAAAGCGCGCTTGAATGGAAAACATTCTTGCAACGGGGTTTGAAACTGCTTATAAATTTTATAAAATATCTGCAAAGAAAACTAATGCAATTGCTCGATCTTTACTCGGATTACGCTACTCTATTTGAGTCGGTACACTAAACGATAAAAACAAGGCTTTTGAGTGGTTTTTGAAATCGACAGAGGGAGAGATAGTAAAGGACAATGCGTTCTTGATTTTTGTTATGAAAATGGTATTGGAACGCAGAAAGATCATAAAAAAACTTTTGATTGTTATTAAAATCGGCAAAAGGGGAGATGCTGAAGGACAATACAATCTTGATAGATGTTATCATAATGGTATTGGGACGCTAAAAAGCTTTTGAGTGGTATTTAAAATCGGCAGAAGGTGGAAATATGAGGGGACGATGCAGCCTTGGCTTTTGTTATCAAAATGGGATTGGAACACAAAAAGATGAGAAAAAAGCTTTTGAATGTTATTTAAATTCGTATTAAGTTCGCTCAATTCAAATTGGTTGAATGCTGTTTGGATCTTTTTTATGGTGTTGAATTGGTAAAAAAAAGCTCAACGAAACGGTTATTATCTACGAGAGCATGCAATAAATGTATTCATTTTATGGTTTTCTTTAAATTACTTTATTGTAGTCTAGTTATTTTTATGTTAAATTTAGCCAATTAACTTTTTAAATATACGATATTAGATATACATGTATTGTACGTTTGTGTAATTATAAATAGTATACTTGGGATGTGCTCATATAGTTTATTCTCTTTGCAATTATATTTATAAAGTTATGCCTCGCATTTTTTGAGTTTAGGATCAATGGATCAAATATAGACGCGTAAATTTTTGATCAGCCCGCAGAACAAATCTGACACAAGAAATGAAAATGTGAAAAATATGGGAAGTAGATGCCTAATAAAAATGTCGGGCGGGTGATTTTGCATATAACCCTAACCGTAGTGCATAAAAACCATTACGTACATGTAGAATGTATTTGTCCTGTGCCTGCACAAATAAGTAATCTACGTCACAACGTCAAATGTGACCTTAGGGTAGTACAACTTATAGTCGTAGTGCCGTACCCTTAGAAATGTTTGCAGCTTTAGTTTTAACTCAATCCACAAATAATATTGATATCGATTTCATGATTACCGTCAGGATTTCTAATGTTTTTAGACTCTTAAATCAATAAAAATTTAAAAGTAGTTACCATTTTCTTTTAAGAGAGTTCTTTATTATTGTATTTCATCTTGAATCTGCAATTTTCCTTGAAAGTCACTCGATATCTCTAATTTCATCCAAACCAAAAATTTCCATTGGTATACTGAGATTGGAATCTGTTTTGCATCATCAAAAAAAAAATAGTAATGGATTAACGAAATTAATGAACAAATAATATAAAAATTAATTTTACCTTCGTTTGAAACATACAAACGCACACTCGTAGAACCTAAGTATTCAAAATTAATGAGCAATGTCAATATGATATATACTAAGAAATAGAAAGTTGGATTTTCAGTAAAGATTCGAGTGGTGTAAAACTGCTTTTGAGTGTATTTGCTTTTTGTTCATATTTGCAAGAACACTTTCCATCTTCTCATCAAGTTTACCCAATTTTTGCTTTTCTAGTTTAAGGCACCAAATAATTTCTTCGCGTGTCTTAGGGTGTTCTAAAGATCTGTCGTACTGAAAATTTAAAACATTCAGTTTCCATTGTTGTTTGAGTCGATAAATTCATTTAGTTCCCGCGCAGTTGGTTTGTTTTCTGGAATAGGACCTCAGCATTTTTCAATAATAAATTTGTACTATCCGGGAACACTCTTTGGTATCTTAGGTCATACGCCTTTATTATCGTATACAAGATCATTTCCATGACTCCGCTCACCGAATGTTATTCGCTTGCTATAATTTCGTACACAATCATCTCAAAACTATCTGTAGCTTGTGTGTACAGTCCCCCAGAAAAGTAACGGCCGGCGGTTTTTTTAGTATAATTTGTTTTTTACATAATAAATTAATGTAATAATTTATTTAAAAATTTCCAAAGAAGATTAATTTTTTTACTTTTTTTAAAATATTTTAAGAAATAATTAGTATTTTATGCTGATTTTTGGAATTAGCTAGATAT